TTTTCCTCCACCCCACGCCCACGTGTGTGTGGATCGTGCTGGGCCAGGGCCCTGCGTCCAGCCCCGGTGCGCTGGGCCTTGTCTTTCTGAGCGTTGTTGATGTGGTTCCTTTCAAAAGCTGAGAATGGGCCACGTATATATGATGGGTTTTTTCACCTTTCTGCTCTTAGATGAGGACTGTCGTCTTCCTAGGAAGCTGAGCGCCCTTGTTGATACAAGAACTCACCCCTACCTCACTTCCCAAATCATAGAAGGAAACGGTGTTGTCTTCTGAGGTTGCATAATCGCAGGAGTGTTTTTGTTCGGTTTTTATTTTTGAGGGTTGTTTTTTCCCAAAGGAAATGAGGCATCTGCGCGGTTCGGGTGCTGGTTTTTCACTTCCACGCAGGGCGCTCTGTCGGCTTCCCCAGCTTGGCCAGGGTGCGCTTTCTTTGGTTAAAGAGTGGCAGAAAGCAGAGGGGGAACGTTTCCTCATGTGATGGTAAACGGGAGGGAGGACTCGGTGTGCCAGAGGTGTGTAAACAGGGGCCCTACTGGGGCTCATTTCTGTGGTGCCCTTAGAGCCGATAAGGATCGTTGCACTTGGAATATTGTCTAATTCTGAATTTCCAGGAATAGGACTCCAGGCAATCCCCCTGAGGGGGCCTTGTCGGCGATCTGTGGGGTTGTGTCAGCAGATAGCTGCTGAGATGCAGGATTGTCATCGTCAGGGAGTTTTCCCCAGTTGAACTGGTGATGAGTCGTTAACGCATCTCCTCATTTTAGTGCTATTCTGCTCTAGCTGAGTGCTGCCAATCTGCCCTGAGCTGGTGTGTATCCTGCTTCAGTGGTTTATCTTAGAGAGAGGAGGGAAAACCCCACAATCACCATTTAAATTGCATTTTGACTGGTAATCTTAACAAGTTTGGTTGGTTGTTTGTTTTTTTTCTCCTCCAGCCTCTCTCCAGGGAAATGTGGTCTCTGCCAAGCCAAATCCCCAGCTGGAAAATAGGGAATAGTTTTAAGTGAGGAACTTGGGGTGAGCTGTAGCTTCTCGGAGAGGTACTTGAAGGCGTGTGCTTTGAAATAAGAGCAGTTATTTTCCATTCTTATACGTGGTAATAAACCCGAGCGGTTGTCAGGCTTCTACCGCAGCAAAAGAAATCAGGGATGTGCCTGTCTCTTTCTGGATTAGCCTGGTGGAGCGGAGCGGGTTTCTTTGTCATAAAAAGCCTGCAAATTTAATGCAAGGGGAAAGTGAAATGCTTGGAAACGTAATGGGGTATTTTTAAAGATCCTCAATCGTTCTGAACGGAGCAATGTAATTAATTTGCTAATTGGTGCCAATGGTGGAAGTCGGTGAGGACAGATGAGCAGAGAAACGCCGGAGCGGGGCTGGGACGTGGGCGAGCGATGAGCTCTGGCCTGGAGAGCCCGGGGGCCGAGGGCCGGGAAGGCAGGAGGAAATAGCGTTGGCCTTGGTCAGGGGGTTAAGACGGGCGAGAGAAATTTGGGATTCGCTCGTTGAACCCGAGGCCGCCCTTTGAACGAGATCGTTTCTAAAACCAGGCACGTGGGAAGGGTCGAATGTGGAAACCAGAATGTCAGTGGAGTTCTTTTTAAGAATGAAAGTATGAATAATATTTTCTGGTTTTGCTAATTATAGCTCTTTGTTCTGAATGAGAGGTGCAGTGTTAATAAAAATAATGGCTTCTCTTTGAATGAAAACAGAGTCTCCAGCGTAGCAGTTTCATAGGGGTAATGTCCATGTATGTGTTGCTTCTGACACAGAAATCAAGTGACTTCTCATCTGCTGCTTTACTCTCCTTTTAAAATTGCCTATAAACAAATCGACACGTCTCTTGGAATAGAACGTTTTCCTATTCAGTTGAACAGGTTTTGAATTTTTAAGCAAATATTGTGATACGGGTGTGATGGTGCAGAAGGGACGTCTCTTGCTTATTGCGCAGGTTCATCTGACGTTTATTAGTCATCTCCTTACTTCAGAGACGTTGCTGGGCATCTCCTTTTATCTCTGCTGTGAGCAGAGAGGCTCCAGCACGCTTTTAAACTCCTTTTTCTCCTGACCCCATCATGTTTGCCTACCGCTCTCCTTTATTCACTTTGGAGAAGGAAATTCCTGTTCCGTGCTGCTGCGGCTTAATTAAACCGAGAGGGCTCCACGGGGTTCCAGTGGCTCTTTAGCAAATAGCTCTGCCAGCCTGTGTGATCAACAGTTTTGGTGGGAGCGGTGATCTAACCCCTGCTAGCAGAACTTGGGATTTTTTTACATTTTTTTATTTGATGTACCAGCAGCCTCGGGACGTGATCCTTCAAAAAACCCGAACCAACAACCCAATCGACTTGGGCCAGGCTGAAGGGCGCGATAACGGTTGGGCTTTCCTTGCTCTGTGGAGCCAGCCTTGGTCTGTGACAAAGAATGTCAACAGGGAAAGGGAAAG